TTAGAAGGCGACGTGGTGAAAGGAGGAATCCACAGTTTTTTGTTGAAAGACATGTTCATCACACTGTTGGCGTTATGGTTTGGGGTGCTATAGCTTATGGTTCCAGGTCACCTTTAATCTTCATCAGAGGTAACATGAACGCGCAGCGTTATATCCACGAAGTTCTAGAACCCCATCTTTTACCCTATCTTGACACGCTGGCAGATCCAACTTTCCAACAAGATAATACCCGACCACATGTTGCAAGAGTCACAATAGACTTCTTTCAACATAACGATGTCACATTGTTACCATGGCCACCAAGATCTTTCGACTTATCCCCAATTGAGCACGTGTGGGATATGATAAGTAGGAGATTGCTCAATTTGCAACGTCCTCCTCAGACTCTAGAAGCACTTCGAGAGGAGTTGGTGGTTGCCTGGAATGAGATACCACAGGAGGACATTGACCACCTGATCAGAAGCATGCCTAGGCGCGTTGGAGAATGCGTAGCACATCATTATTAAAGGTCAAAGGGCTTTAAAGCAGTGCAATCATTTTGAAATTTTTATCATTTATTTATTATGCTTCATTAAGTACTTATACAAAATTTTATTAAAATAAAACCATTTAAACTGGGTGTTCGGATTTATATGTCACTTAGTATATAAACTCAGATACCCAGCGAACGCGCAGTAAGTTCTAAAACTGACTCCTGACTATCTGTAATTTACCGCAGTATATGGGATATGACTTATGAATATTCAAGTGAATGCGTTATTTTTCAAAGATCTTGTTTAATACATGGCTGTCATTTGCCCCAGAATAATACGTTACCTGAAACCCAATCGCTGCCCATCTTAGGTGGTTCTGAATGTAGCTCCTTAGTAGCTACTAGACCGTAAGAAACTTGTCGATGAAAGTCAATGAGCACGTTCAGTTAAGCTAAAGTGGCCCAGTGGTATAATAATAATAATAGTAAGTTTATTTCCAACAGGAAATTGCAGGAAATATCGATAAACATCAATAAAGCACAGTAAAGAGATACTTACGAGTAGATAAAAATAACAACATTAAGTAAATGATCAACAATCAATACAACTTAATCAAGGTAAAGTTCGATGACGCGAGATTTAGTGACATTAAATATGTCACAGTTACTTATACAATTAAATAGTGTACACTATACTATAACTATCTAAAACTGTAATGACTCATCGATGTTCACGTGAACATCACTTAACTACCAGTAGTCGGCTGTTCATAGACGGGGTATGAATGTTTAACATGGGTGAACTAGATTTGTCACATGCTTAATAAAAAGTGGTTTGAAACATATTGTAAGTCAAAAATTTGGGAATTACCTTTATTCATCGTCGCTTCCACTTACATCTGACAGTAATAAACTGTCGCTATCGCTTTCCTCGTTGAAATTGACTATAACTATCTCTATGATGGTGTCAATGTGGTGGTCAAGCTGCCAGATTTTTGTTTCTTCCTTCACAATATGACGGATAGCATTCTGCCAAGCTTCGGGCGTTACTAGCTGTACGGAAGTCTCAAGTAAAACCTTAACGTCTGGTAATTTGAAGGTTGTGTTATGGCGCGCAATATAACCCTTCACTTGAGCCCAGATGAGCTCTATTGGGTTCAGTTCACAGTGGTAGGGCGGTAACCGCAGCACAGTGACACCACATTGACGGGCCATCTCATCAATCACGTAACTAATGTTCGCAGGTTTGTGCTGTTTAATTTTTTCATACAATTCCGCTTTCACACATGAATCGTCAAACGGGATTCCTTTTTCGCGCAACCATTGCTGCACGTCACTTTTTCGAGATCCCATGGTCGGTACACGTTCGGCTCGACGACTATGGTAGGAAGCATTATCCATGACGATCACAGAGTTGGGCTCAACTCGCTGAAGCACCCCTTGAAACCAGCTCTCGAAGCAGCTGGCATTCATTTCGTCATGGTAATCACCTCCTTTCTTAGAGACGAAAATCAAGTCACACTCTTCTAAAAAGCCACTATCGCTACCAATATGAGTTACGATCAATCTTTGACCTTTCCCTGACGGTCCACGAAGACCTGTTGACAAACCTTCAATGCTTGCTTGTCGGTTACTCACTACGTTTTTGTCTATCCAGGTTTTTTTAACTGTGTAACCTGCATTTACCCATGTCTCGTCCAAATAATAGATTTTTCTGCTTTGTCGCCTATATTCAATCATTTCGCGTAGGTATTTTCGACGCCAGGCGACTATTTCAGGTCTCTCTATCAATACTGACTTCCGATTACGCGTTTCGTAACGAAAATTAATTTCGTGCAGGGATTTCCTCATTACCTCGACGCTCATTTGGGGTATAATTTCATTTTCCTCATTCCTAAAGAAGAATGAATGTACGGTTCGCCTTAACTATCGTCATCCAATTTAACGGCCTTTCGTCCCTTAAAATTAAACTTTGGATCAGTAGTAGCTCCAGTTTTCTTCTTTTCATGCACCACCCTGCGAATGGTCCACTCTGGAACGCCTGTCATACTTTCACAACGCGCGAGTGCATCTCCCTGCGACATAGTTCTGTTCAGATAATTGAACACGTTGAGCACGATTTCTTTCGCGTCCCTCTTCAGTGCATTACGAAGCCGTCTACTTGTTCCCTGGCTTTCAGTACTTCCACTCGTGCCATTTGTACTCTCCATGGTTAAGTATAACCAAAACAGTAACCACAGAAACCACAACAATAACAATCACACAACAATTCTTATAAAAACACACAATATGCGATCGCTCAACGAAACACGTTCCAATGCGTTGCCGACGCCTATGAGTCTGCCGGTCTTTGATTTCATTGGTTCTACCGGCGGAGAACAATCAGCCATTATTTCCATCTCTGTCTGTGCTGTTGACCACCGCAAAGCCACAGAAACGACATATGTCGTACGCTATACGGCTGTACTGGAAGGAAGCCGGGATCGAGCTCTGATCACGTGTTGATCACGCGTATGAGTCATTACAGTTTTAAATAGTTGTAGTATACCCAAAAACGGGAAACTTGGACAAAACATTTGTGTGGCAGAAATTACAGTAAAATATTGCACAGTGACGATCATCTAAGCTAGGAACATTAAAACCTGTTACTTAAAATATATAGGCAATATATCTTATTGTGTAGTAAACTGAAAAAAAAGACGGAGCGGAAATGTTTCGGCGTACTTCAAGCAATTTGATATCACATACAAATTATATCAGGAGTTTTGTATTGACAAACAAGAATTACCAGTAAAAGAGTCCTATTACAGGCATATTTTCAATACGGAATTCAATTTAAGTCATTGTGACAATTTAAAAAATTTAATAAAATATTCTACAAATGAAGACGTGATTAAAAATGCCAAGCAAGACCTCGGGCTCCACCAAAGAAAGGCCCAGAAAGCAACACGCGCCAAAAAAGTTAATATTGCTGAAAATAAAAATGATTCTAAAAATACGGCTGTAATTTGTTTTGATTTGCAACAGGCATTGCCGACGCCATTGTGAACCATCTCTAAAGTATTTTATCTTCGTCAATTATGGACGTATAATTTCTGTGTCCTTGACTTACTGACTGGAAAAAGTTATATGTATGTATGGAACGAAACTATTGCATCCAGGGGCACACTGGAGATAGGGTCTTGTTCAATAAAATTTGTGCAAAGCCTTCCATCTACAGTTACGAAGATTATTGCAAACAGTGATTCGTGTGGAGGACAAAATAAGAATAAAAACATTGCTAAACTATTAAGTTTTATTGTTCAAGCTACACATATATCTGAGATTCATCACAAGTTCCTTGAACCCGGGCACACTTACATGGAATGTGACAGTAGTTTTGGCTTAATCGAGAAGAAAAAAAGGCAAATCCCTTAAGTTTTTCTCCCCGCCGATTGGGATACTGTAATAAGAGGCACATCGGCCAAATTTATTGTGTACAATATGAAAAAAGACGATTATTACTCTTTTTCGCCGTTCAATGAAATTATGAACGATCCAAAAAAAAATAGTGACGGTTACCCCTTAAAATGGAAAGAAATTTGCTGGTTTGCTTACTATAAAAGTGAAAGACTAACATTTCGATACAAGAGTACCCTAAACATTGATGTAGAGTTTAGCAGTTGCTTAATGGCAACCTCAAAAAATGGGCGTCCGTGTTTTAACTTTTCAATACTAAAGCCTTTGAATGGCACTTCGATAAAGATTAAAGTCGCCAAGTACAAAAACTTGTTTAGCTTATTGGAATACATTCCGCCCGTTCACCATACATTTTATAAAAACATGAAGCACGATGGGAAAGCATTAACAAAAAAAGGAAAAAAGAAACAAACACAGACCCTGACATCAAGCTAAAAAGTACCTGATATAGATGAACCCCAACCAAGACCAGCTGATTCAGATGAAGAAAATGATGAAGACATCCAAATATTAGATTCTGATTATGAATAAGAAATTTTGTTATAGATTATTTTTAAATAATGTTTGGTTTAGTACGGTAGTTGCACCTGAATCATGTTACCACCATAATTTTTATAACATGATTCAAGTACATTTTTGCAAAAATGACAATAAAAAAGCAAAATTAAGAAAATATTTTTTGTTTGTAATGTTTTATTGGCATTTAAATATATTTATCATACATTGATAAATTTATTCATGGAATTTTCAGATTCAAGTAAACTTTGAAGCCATTTATCTCAGAACTACTAAAAATGTATTTAAACCCCTTTACTTCCAGGCCCCTCAATTAGTCTCCACTTGATTATCAGATTTGCTAGTTTGTTGGTAAAATGTCGCAAACCGTCAAAGCTATTTCATGGCTATTGCTATTTAGGTTCTGCAATGCTGTTTCACGTCTCACGCACTCAATATCTTTGAATCATTGACAATTGCAGGTTCTTATGCATGTATTGACCTATCAGGAAGCTATAGATTGGAATCACTTGACACTAGCAGTCATCAGACTTTAAAGATTTCATTGTTTTAGAGCATAGTCTCTCGCGCATATCAAATACGGTCTCGCTTGCCGGAGGAACACGGTAAATTACCAGTAAGTACGACTGGACTATAACACGAAAACGTGAAACAGCCGACCATGATCTTTATATTGGAACTTGAAACGTTCAATCCTCAGTATTCCTTTTTATGTGGTAAATACGACGAGTAACTTATATATTCCAATGTATTGGGATGCAGAAAACGTTTTCATTCTGTTTACCAGCAATATTCGGAGCAGCAACATCCAAACCAGTATGCTTCCAGCCCCTTTCACTTTGTAACATTTATTGCGATGTTTAGCTACACCGTTTATAAGAATTAATAAAATACGTACCAGAATAAGGCTTACGTTGTCCTATTCTGTTTCCAAGTTGGTATAGCGTGGTTTATAAAACGATAAAAGGATAAATGTCGAAATCTAGTTCCTACCTTTGGAAGGTGGAATTTGCATTTGGTATATGTGGTCATCTGGTAACTGATACACTTTTATGGCAAGATAACTCACGAATCCTGCGATTTTGCCTGATAGCACCCTCAGCTGTTGCGGCATATACGTGAAAAAGAAAATGAGCATCGAAAAAGTATTACCTTAAAGACATAAATCATAAATAATGATAGTAAAAGCTAGACTCTAGCAGGCCTTACCTCTAATCATTAATCGAGAAAGTAAAGATAGAATGACATCATTTTTTGTGCAAGCCATATCAATGGTTATTTGATATCGTTTAGAGTATCCAATCCACTTTTGGATTTAATTTTACTTGACTTTTGTCAAGGGAATTTTTCCAATCAGTAATTATGAAAAAAGGTTCGCTTAGGTATTGAAGGTCCTTTCCTTATAATGTATGTATTCGCCGTTGCCCTGTAAATATGTTGAAGTTAGTAGTAACGTCATCTCACGATAACGATATTTTAAGAATCTTCGTGTTCAGTCCCTATATAGCGACATCAGTAGCATGTATATAATCAATTCATTTTCGGCCCTATGCAAGCAAAAACGTTACTATTCTAAGATGCACTATTTGCTGGATAATGATACTATTGTGTTTGTAATCATCCTGTACATGCATCGCCATCATGATCGCAAACTATTGTCTACTCTGACTAATTTAACTTTAGAAGTCCCATTCAACCTTTGGCGGTCTAAAACAATGTTACCAACACAGGAAGGATCAAAGCAAGCCTAATACTTGATTATTTTCCATAGCCTGCAAGGCCAGTATGAACAGTGTTGTTTCATTAATATTTTGATAGATCTGTTACTATTAGAGAGCTTCTATTACCTATTGCTATAAGAATCATTTTTACTATTCACTATTTGTCCTATTTTTTCCGATAGCTGCCCAACCAGCAAAGTAGTGTTATAAGCTTTTGGTAAAATAACCGTTCAGCCATAAAAGCTCTCTATTGTTGTTGCCTGAACACCAAAATGCTGGCTTAATGTTGTGTGGAATGCAAATTTGCTTTCTGTAGCATATTTGCTATAAAATGAGGTGTTTAAAATATTCTTATAGCATAGGTATACAACACCTTATAGGGCAAATTTTTAACTGTTGCTTAAACGTTTATACAACTATTTTATACGGCATATTTGCACGTTAGTCAAAATGGTTGTGTTGTGGCATCCATGGTAACGTTTATAAAACAAACCGGAGCCTTGTTGTTTTGCTGTGTAATTTACTACTTTAGCCAACAAATTGCTTCCAACGGAAGCACTTATACAACTCTTGTTTAGTAACTGTTAAAGGCTGTACATATGCTAAATATGTTGGTATACAACTTCAGCAAAACCTAACTTTCTGCTGTCACATTTTTGTTAAAATGCCATAACCAATGTTTTAAGACAAACAACGCATGCATATTGGTTCAAAAGGTTCTATTAACTGTGCAAACCGACTCTGTCGGTATTTCACATTTGTCGAATTGTTGTATAACACCTGCAGGCAACACCAAAATATTCTAATAAACTAAAGACAACATGAACGATGCCATGATTATACACAACCACCTGCCATATTGGGCAAACATGTATTCCTCTATTTAATATTAAATAATTATGTTTCACTTCGAAATTGCACATGTAAAGTGATAAAAATTAGTGTAATTGTGTCTAAATATAGGATTTGTGGAAGATTTAACGCAGATAAGTTCAGTTTTCCATCTTAAAAATCTAGACATGCTTTTGATTATCAAAATATGAATCAAATACGAAGCCCGTAGAAATTTTGTGACTACTTTGCACGATAATCACAATAAAATTTGCTGCGCAAGCAATTCAATAGCCCTATATCACAGTGTAGAAGTTTATCGTATACCTGTGTATGAAATTCACAATGGCCGATATGAAAGCAAACAAGATGACTGTAATGTATTAGTTATATATTCTTCACTTCGTCTATACAATACATAAGAAATAGTTCGGTTGCAATAAAGTAGAATCACGTAACAGAATAGTTGTATAGTTGACAAAAACTGAATCTTGCACTGACGCAAGTGTCCTATAGCGGCTGCAAGAGGCTTACACTTTTGTTGTATAACTGTTACCTGCAGCCCTTATACAACCTCTTAAATGACTGAAGTGTCCTATTAGGTGTGCCCATTCCGCTTGTATAGGTGTTCTAAGAGGGTTTTGCTAAGGTTCTTACAGTATACAATGCTGTGTAAGGAATACTGTGTAATCATTCTTGCAACTCTAATAGAAGTGATAATTGTTAGTTGGGTGCTGGCGCCATCTGTGTGATATCTTTCAGTCACCTGCCTCTACTACTGGTTAAAAAAACAGTTATTTATTATACATGGGAAAAAAGAGAAAGAACTGGATGTTTCTTTATCTTTCATTCCATGAATCTTGAATGCGCGGTTTCCTAAAATTTCCGCGACTTAGCTGGCAATAATTTTTGTGACGCTACTTTGGCTACTTCTAGTAGTTCCGGTGAAGTCAAGGAAAACTCGTAATCAGACATTTCTTACTTTATAGTATTAAAAATAATTTCTAAACAACCACTAAGTTCATAATTTTTGAATCAAATCACAACTACTAATTTGAAAATTCAAATTTCAGATCGATTTTTTCCGTCACAGAAAAAATTGTGTATTATACGCAGGAAAAATACTAGATGCTAGTATACTTTTCCCTTGTATAATAAAAAACTACTGCCCTATGTAATGAGAGTACCAGACAGAATCCCACATTCTAGGCTTTTGCTCCGCATATCTCGGTGTAAGCGAACAGATAAGTTTGATAAACTAGAAGAAAGGCATGTGGATTGAGAGTCATATGTACCCGGAGACAGCTTGTGATCACATTGCCTGACTAATATGAGAAACATCGTCAGACTATCCAAGTGGTGCCTCATTATGCTTTTGGTCTGCATTTTGATTGTAAAGCTTCTGTGTAAATGTGTCGTATTTATATTTTAGTATATTCATTTAAAATTATTTTCAAAGTCTCTAGTGATAGATGAAGCTAACTACCAAGCCCCTATGAACTTGCCTTCTTGGGCTCTCTTGTGATCTTTATTATTCAGGAGCATCTCAAATGTATATTGTGACTCTGGGTCGTACATTGTCAGTTTTTTCACCATCCTCCATTCTCTGGTATCGGTTTAATGTGAGTTTAATGCAAAAAACAAAAACGGTGACTAAATATAACCTAACAATCTTGACACATTGTCATTTTCGTTATCCCCACTATTTCGGAGCGTACAGCACCGAATAAAAAGCGTATTTGTACATCGAATCTCTTAACCGATCATCAAAACGCTATATAAATTAGGGCTTCGAAAAGATTAAAGTACAAAATGACTTCTGGATGTGATGTATTCCAAGTTTTTCGTTAAAGATTGCATTCATATACTAGCGAAACCGCTGGCTTCCATATTCAACCTAATTCTAAAATCAGAGACATATCCAAATATCTGGAAGACCTCTAAAATATGTCCTATACACAAAAGTGGAGATATCTCTGATATTTCCAACTACCGCCAAATAGTAATCCTGTGCAATTTCAGCAAGTTGTTTGAGATCATCGCTTATGAAACGGTTTACTGCTCGGTCAGGGGTGCAGTGTCTATTAATCAGCATGGGTTTATGAGAGGCAGATCTACGGTCACCAACTTGGCTCTAATTACTCAGTACATTTCTGAAGTACTTGACGGTCAGGGACAAGTTGATGTCATCTACACAGATATTCAGAAGGCGTTTGATCAAGTTGATCATTATGCACTTCTGGATAAGCTTAAAACAGTGGGTATGTCTGATGCAATGCTGTCGCTCATGAATTCATATTTGAGGGATAGGAGGTTATTTGTCGAATGTGGTGGTCATAGGTCGAGTTACTATCGGCCCACGTCCGGGGTACCTCAAGGGTCAAATCTAGGTCCATTATTGTTTTTGATATGTATTAAGCACTTGTCTTTTGAATCGAGTTTGTTTTTCGCTGATGACCTTAAAATCTGCACGTCAGTCAAGACAGTCGCGGATTGCGTCATGTTGCAAGATGACTTAGCTCTAATTTCGTCATGGTGTTCACGAAACTATTTCAGTCTGAATGTTTCGAAATGTAAAGTTACGACTTATACAAGAAAGGTTAACTGTTTAATTTATAATAATTATAGACAGATTCACCTCTTATAGAGACCTTGGAGTCATTTTTGATACCAAGCTAACGTTTGCTGAGCATATACTCAATATCTCGTCGGCTGCCACTCGACTACTTGGTTCCTGTATCAGAAACTGGAAGGGTTCCTCCAATGTTGATACATTAGTGACTTTATTTTTTACTTTTGTCAGGAGCAAGTTGGAGTATGCGACTCTGGTCTGGTCTCCTATATACCACAATTCTGTCGTGATCCTTGAGGCCATTCAACGTAAAGCTTTAAGGTATTTTCACCTTAAATGCACAGGTTCTTATCCAGAAAGAGGTTGTGACCATAGTGCCCTATTAGAGTTTTTCAATTTGGATTCCCTGTCAACAAGACTAAACATATTTGCTTTGTCGTTTTTGTATGGCATCATTCACAATAAAATTGACTGTCAAAAT